CCAGTGAGGCTGGAGGGATCCCTTCTATGGGATCCAGTGAGGCTGGATGGGTCCCTTCTGTGGGATCCAGTGAGGCTGGGGGGATCCCTTCTGTAGGATCCAGTGAGGCTGGAGGGATCCCTTCTATGGGATCCAGTGAGGCTGGAGGGATCCCTTTTGTGGGATCCAGTGAGGCTGGAGGGATCCCTTCCGTGGGATCCAGTGAGGCTGGAGGGATCCCTTCCGTGGGATCCAGCTGGTGGAAGTGGAGGCTCCTGGGATGCTTCCTCGGAGCAGGAGCAGCCTGGGATGGGTGAGGCCAGCAGCTGTCCCGTGTGCTGGGGCTGAGATCTCCTGGAATTACCTCTTTTTCCCGTGCTGGAAGAGGGATTCCTCTCCTCTGGGAACGTGTGTGTGTGTGCAGGGCCTTGAGAAGCCAGAGGGGGATGAGGAGCTGCCAGGGGGAAGCTCCATCCTCCCTCCCCCGGGCAGTGCTGGATTCCTGGCTCGGTTCTGTCGGGCACTTGCTCTGTCTCTCTCCTGTTCTCTGACCCTCTCTTGCCTCTGTTCTCTCCTAGATGATATCAGTGGGACGCTGCCTCCATCTGTCCTAGTGGGTCCAATGGGCTCTTCCCTGCAGTCTTTCCCTCTGCCTCCGCCTCCTCCGCCCCACGCCCCAGGTCAGGCAGAGCTTTCCCGAGGCTCTGGCTTTTCCCTTCAGGAATCTGCACTTTGGGGGGGGGGTTGTTCTCACTCAGCTTCGAGGCTTTTTCCATCTCTGGTGCTGCCTTGGCTGCTCAGGGACACGTGGTGCTGCAGGCACTGCCCTGTCCAGGCTCTGCTCCCGTGGCTCCTGTTGCCCTCCGTGGTTTTCCTGGAGCTCAGGATTGAGCTTTACCCTCAGTGGGGTTCAGCCCACCCTGATAAGGAGGGTCAGCAGTGCCATGGGAGCAGAATTCCAGGCAGGAACCCCAGCCTCTGACACCCCCTCCCCCAGTTTTCCCAAACAATTCCCCCTTTTGCTTTCGCTTTCCTCGGCACCCAGAGGGCTTTTCCTGCCCCTTTTCCAGGATGTGTGTGTCCATCCCTCCCTCTCCTCCCATGCCTTCCCTCCGAGCCAGAGTAAGGAAGAGCAGGGAAGGATTCCCACCGTGTCCTTCACGAGGATTTTGTCCTTCTGTGGGTCCTCCTCCTTCCCTGAGCTCCGGAGCCGTGCCAGGGGCTGGGATCACTGGGATCACCGTCCCTGGGGGATCTCCCCGTGGCTGATGGTGGCCCTGGCTTGTTTTTCCCTGTGCAGACGCCTTTCCCAGGATCGTCCCCGTGCGGCCTCCAGAGGGGGGGATGGCCCAGCCCATCCCACACCTGCAGTGCCCCCTCTCCCGACCCGATTCCAGCAGCTTCGCCGCCAGCCTGAGGGAACTGGAGAAGGTAAAGGGGCTCCTGGGGCTTCAGGGTTTGATTTTGCGGGGGTTGATCATCCCCCTCGTGGACTTGGGAGCACAGGATTAGGGTAGGGGTGGGAAAAACCACTCCTACCTTTCCCCCAGTGAGGGGGTTGATCCGATCTCCAGGGACAAGAGGAAGCATCCTGAAGTTGCAGCAGGAGGGATTTAGGTGGGATATGGTGGAACAGGCACTGGAACAGGCTGCTCAGGGCAGTGGTGGATTTGCCCTCCCTGGAGGGACTTAAAAACCCACGTGGAGCACTTGGGGCCGTGGGTTTGGGGGTGGCCTGGGCGGTGCTGGGGGAAGGGTTGGACTCAGCGATCCCAGAGGTCTTTTCCAGCTTAAATTATCCCACAATTCTCTGAGCCCAGGAGAGCATTTTGCTGTTCATGGAGGGGGTGTCGTGGTCTCCTCTGTCCTCTGCCCACCTTTGGGGTGGTGAGGGATGGGATGGTGCCCTCCCCACCCTGACCATCCGCGCTCCCGGGGGGATACAAAGCCACTTCCATTTGGGAATACGGCAGCAGGAGCAGGTTGTGCCGTGTTTGGCTGCTGCCAAATCACCCTGGTTGGCATGCCCTGACCCTCTGCCTGCCTCTCTCCCCAGTGTGGGTGGTACTGGGGCCCCATGAACTGGGAGGACGCCGAGATGAAGCTGAAGGGGAAACCCGACGGGTCCTTCCTGGTGCGGGACAGCTCCGACCCCCGGTACATCCTGAGCCTGAGCTTCAGGTCCCAGGGCATCACCCACCACACCAGGATGGAGCACTACAGAGGTGAGGAAGGGGGGGCCCAGCACCCCCAGAGCAGAGCTGGCAGGAGAGGGGGAGCAGCAGCCCCAGCATGTCCTCACTCCTGTGTTGAGCTCCTGGTTTTAAGTCAGGTTTTTGGGGGTTTTTTGTAGCCTAATTTGAAGCTTTCCCTGGGTTTAAGTTAGACTGGGTTTTTTTGTAGCCTAATCTTAAGCTTTTCCTGGGTTTAAGTTAGACTGGGTTTGTTTTTTTTTAGCCCAATTTTAAGGTTTTTTCTGATTTTGTGTCACTGCTTTCCCCCAGCAGCATCCAGGCCCCAAAGCCTTTAGGCTTCAGCAAATCCCAATTATTTGATGTAAAAGCCTGTCCAGCTCCTTCCTGTTCATTTTAAGAGCGTTTTTGTGGCCTTTGGGGTAATAAAAGGTGTTTGAGCTTCTTTCTTTTGCCTCAAGGAGGCATCTGAAAAACTGGGAATCAAGAGTTCCTCAGGCCACACTCTGGAAAACTGGAGCCAAAGAAATGCTTGGCAGTAGGATTTTTGGGATCCTGTGGCACTGGGATGTGATGCACCACATCAGCACTGTGGGTGCTGAGCCCCTCTTGATGGGAAGATGTCCCAACATTAATTCCAGCCTGTCCAGAGCCAGCTCCCTGTCTCTGGCTGCTGCCAAGAAGGAAGGATTTTCACCTTATCCTTATGGAAAGTGGGAGAGGCTCTCACAGCTGGAGGATTTCGAGGCTTTTCCATAACTGAGCTTGGGAGGAAACTTCTGCTGCTGCTCTCTGACGTCTCAGTTCAGGGCTGGGACCTGAGGGAACTCCTTCTCCTTAATCAGGAAAAACTTATTTGTGGGAAGTGTGATCAGGCCCTGGCCCAGGCTGCCCAGATGGAGTCACCAGCCCTGGAAGTGCTCAGAAACCACGTGGATGTGGCACTTGGGGACAGGGTTTCAGTGCTGACATGGGACAATGTTTGGACTCGATCTCAGAGACCTTTTTTAACCTGAGCTGTTCCCCAGCTCTGGGATTTTGGTGCAGGGAGGGGGTGTCTGTGCAGCCCAGGGGTGGTTTGGCTGGTCTGACTGGAGGTTTAACCCCCTTTGGAGCTCTGGGACCTGCCTGGGGGCTGCTGGCCCTGTGTCCCCATCTCCAGTTTCACCCTGGGGCGGGCGTCGTGTCGGGTGACAGGGACAGCACAGGGACACCCGTGGCCTGTGCTGTGACCCTGCTCCTACTTAACAGTCCCTTTAATTAAGGTGTTGGGAGCAGCTGGCAGGGACAGGGAGCTGTGGAACGTGATCCCTGGCAGCCACAGCGCTGGGAAAAGGGGACAGCAGCTCCTGGGTGTCTGGTTTAAAAACCTCCAAGCGCTTCCTTTGGGAATGCTGGGGGTGGGATGCTGCTGCCCCATCCCTGGAAGTGTCCAAGGCCAGGTTGGAGCAACCTGGGCTAGTGGAAGGTGTCCCTGCCCATGGCAGGGGGTGGGACTGGATGAGCTTTAAGGTCCCTTCCCACCCAAACCATCCCATGATCCTGCAGAGGAACAGGGACTTCTGCAAATTAAAGTGTATTTTTGTTGAAGTTCCAGACCCAGCAGTTGCAGCTGTTCACAAGTTCAGGCAGGGGTGGCTTGTGGCCACCTCTGGGTGCCAGAGGTCTCTCTGTCCCACCTCTCTGTGCATCCCCAGCTCCTGGAGAGCACTGGTCCTGGTGGAACAACACACTGGTGCCACCGGTGTTCCCTCTTAGTGCCCCATCCCAGCTCTGAGAAGTCAGCCTGGGGTGTTCACCTGGATTTTGGGAGCACCAGACCCATCCCTAAATGTCCCTGAATGTCCCTAAATGTCCCCTCTTGCCCCTGGTGCTGCCATGACGTGCCACCTGCTCTGCTCTCTGCAGGGACCTTCAGCCTGTGGTGCCACCCCAAGTTCGAGGACCGCTGCCAGTCGGTGGTGGAGTTCATCAAGAGGGCCATCATGCACTCCAAAAATGGGAAGTTCCTCTACTTCCTGCGCTCCAGGGTCCCAGGTGAGCCCAGGGAGGGGCTTTGCTCCGGGATCAGCTGCTCCCCTGTCCCACAGAGTGGGTTTGGTGTGACCTTGGGCTGTGCTCAGTGTCCTGCTCCCCGTCCTTGCACACCCTCTACTCCTGAGGGTGAGGAGACTTCTCAAACCTTCCTCCCCAAGAGTTTGAGATCATGATCCCACCTCCCACTGGCAAAAGCCCGAGCCTGGAAGCTGCTCCCTCAACAAGCAATTATTTGGCTGCTAAACCCCCCTTCCTTCCCTCTCCCTCTGTCTCAAACCACCCCGTGCTTTGTGGCTTCCCGGTTTTCCCTTGGCTGGGACCCACCCGGGGCTGTGGAGGGGAGGGATGTGGGAGGGACTCCAGGTGTGAGCTCAGAGGGAGACTCAGGTGATGATTCCATGGATTTGGAGTCCCTGGAGAGACCATCCACAGGCAGGGGATATTGGGATGAAATTCCTCCCTGTGAGGGTGGGGAGGCCCTGGCACAGAAAAGCTGTGGCTGCCCCATCCCTGGAAGTGTCCAAGGCCAGGTTGGAGCAACCTGGAATAGTGGAAGGTGTCCCTGCCCGTGGCAGGGGGTGGGACTGGATGAGCTTTAAGGTCCCTTCCCACTCAAACCATTCCATGATCCCACGATACCCTGTGGAACCCGGCCTTGAGGAGAGTCAGCTTTTCCCTCCGGGATCAGGAGCACTTCCTCATCTCCAATATTGGCTTTTTTCCCCCCAAAGGTCTCCCTCCAACGCCTGTCCAGCTCCTGTATCCCGTCTCCAGGTTCAGCAACGTCAAATCCCTTCAGCACCTTTGCCGCTTTCGGATCCGGCAGCTGGTCCGGATCGACCACATTCCCGAGCTCCCACTGCCCAAGTGAGTCCCAGGGATGGGTCCCTTTCATTCCCGAGCTCCTGCTGCCCAGGGATGGGTCCCAGGGATGGATCCCTTTGATTCCTGAGCTCCCACTGCCCAAATGAATCCCAGGGATGGATCCCTTTGATTCCTGAGCTCCCACTGCCCAGGGATGGATCCCTTTGATTCCCAAGCTCCCACTGCCCAAGTGAATCCCAGGGATGGATCCCTTTGATTCCTGAGCTCCCACTGCCCAGGGATGGATCCCTTTGATTCCTGAGCTCCCACTGCCCAGGGATGGATCCCTCTGATTCCTGAGCTCCCACTGCCCAGGGATGGATCCCTTTGATTCCTGAGCTCCCACTGCCCAGGGATGGATCCCTTTGATTCCCAAGCTCCCACTGCCCAAGTGAATCCAAGGGATGGATCCCTTTGATTCCTGAGCTCCCACTGCCCAGGGATGGATCCCTTTGATTCCTGAGCTCCCACTGCCCAGGGATGGATCCCTTTGATTCCTGAGCTCCCACTGCCCAGGGATGGATCCCTTTGATTCCCAAGCTCCCGCTGCCCCAGTGAGTCCCAGGGATGGATCCCTTTGATTCCCGAGCTCCCAGGGAATAATTGACTTCCCCCCCAGCCTTGGGACAGTGGGATGAGCGTCCCATGGGATGTGGGGATGGATGCACATGGGAATTCCGACCTCGGGAGTGAGGTGTTCCCTTCCCCAGCCCGTTGACGGAGCCGGGTGGGCTCTGGGGAGGTCGGAGTGGTGGTGGCGGCTCAGGGATTGAACCTCTTCCCGCTCCTTTTCCAGGCCCCTGATCTCCTACATCCGCAAGTTCTACTACTACGACCCTCAGGAGGAGGTTTACCTGTCCCTGAAGGAGGCCCAGCTCATCTCCAGACAGACCCAGGAGCCGGAATCCTCCACGTAGCGGAGCCGCCTCGCCCGTGCTCCCGGCACTGATGGTACGGGAATGCTGCTGGATGCATCCAACCCCGGGATTGCAAACCCACAGATCCCTCCTGGCTGTTCACTCCAGGGTCTTTCACCATTCCCAAGCTTTCCCTGGTGAGGGAAGCAAGGCTTCATCGTGGTCTCTTGCCATTCCCAGTTTTTCTTGGAGAGGGGAACGAGGCTTCCTGGCCTTTTACCCTTGGGAAGGAGAACAAGGCTTCGTGGTCTTCTGCAATTCCCAGCTTTCCCTGGGGAGGGGAACAAGGTTTCACAGTCTTTTACCATTCCAGGCTTTCCTTGGGAAGGGGAACAAGGCTTCATGGTCTTCTACCATTCCCAAGCTTTCTTTGGAAAGGGGAACAAGGCTTCCTGGTTTTCTGCAGTAGCCAGGCTTTCCTTGGGAAGGGGAACAAGGCTTCCTGGCCTTTTACCCTTGGGAGAGAGGAGAAGGCTTCACAGTCCTTTACCATTCCCAGTTTTCTTTGGGAAAGGAAACAGGGCTTCATAGTGTTTTGCAATTCCCAAGCTTTCCTTGGAAAGGGGAACAAGGCTTCATAATCTTTTACAATTCCCAAGCTTTCCTTGGAAAGGGGAACAAGGCTTCATACTGTTTTGCAATTCCCAAGCTTTCCTTGGAAAGGGGAACAAAGTTTCACGGTATTTTACCCTTGGGGAGGGGAACAAGGCTTCATGTTCTTCCACCATTCCCAAGCTTTCCTTGGAAAGGGCAACAAGGCTTCATGGTTTTTTTACCATTCCCAGCTTTCCTTGGGAAGGGGCACAAGGTTTCGGGGTCTCTTACCATTCCAGGCTTTCCTTGGAAAGAGGAACAAGGCTTCATGGTTTTTTTACCATTCCCAGCTTTCCTTGGGAAGGGGCACAAGGTTTTGGGATCTCTTACCATTCCAGGCTTTCCTTGGGGAGGGCAACAAGGCTTCCTGTTGTTCCACCATTCCCAGCTTTCCCTGGGAAGGGGAACAAGCCTCCAGGTTGTTCCCACCCCAGCCTGTGCTCCCTCCCGGGGCCGGATCCATCACTCTGGTGGCTGATCCCTCTCCCCTCTCTTTCCCACCAGGAATTTGGTTGTTGCCATCCCGCAGCCCGAGCCAGGCCGTGGTGGGAAGGAGCCCCCCACACTCCCCTGCTGCTGCTCCTGCTCTCCAGCCCTTTTGTACAGAGAAGAGGGGGCCGAGATTCCCAAGAAAAGCCCAGCAGAGCAGGAATCCAGAGCCTTGGCTCCTGGGAAAAGGCGTCTCGGAGGCGGCCGAGCCTCCCGGCGGAACAAGGAATGTCACGGCACTATTTACAAAGTTTGGGGAAAGTTTTTTATTTTTTGACGTCTTTCAGTTTTTGTTTTTCGAAAGCATGAGAAGTGACTGCGTGGTGAGGACCCCGCCTTGGAAAACTGGGAGGTGGGGAGAGAGATGGAGGGAGGAGGGGACACTCTCTGGGAAGATCCATCTGCTCCGAGGCATCGTGGCGGGATTGTCCTTTGATCCCCACGGAGAGGGGAGGATGCAGCTTGGGGAGCTGCTGGAGGCAAACTGAGCCAAGAAGGATCGGCAGCTCCGTGGAATAACCTCTGGGAATAACCTTGGAGCTCTGGGTGGCTCAGCAGCTTCCCAGGATCCGGGAGGAGGGAGCCAAACCCAGCCTTGGGAAGCTGAGCTTTGCAGCTGGATTTGCAGGATGGTCCCACGGGAGGTTGGACCCGAGGAAGGAGGAGTGTGTGAGCTGTTGGGATGTCCTGGATCCCGAGGGAATGGCTGGTGCTGCTCCTCTGAGGAAGGGCCATTCCCTGAGAAAACACTGGAAGATGCCCCCTGAACCCCCCGGGAAGTGGAAGGAAGGTGGAGAAGCTGGAACTGTTGGAGCTGCCTGTGGACCAAAGGTACTTCCTGCAGAGCCATGGGATGTGCACTTCCAGCCCCTCTCTGGCTGATTCCAGAAGCTGGGAATGAAGTGGCTTCCTTTGGAGCTGCGAAGGATCCCGAGGAGGAGCTGCTGGGGGTGGCTGGGAGCAAGGAGCAGCTCCCTGAGGGTTCTCTGGAACAGCATCTGCCCTCTGGGAGCTCCCTTCCCTCCTTGGGACATCCATGGATCCACAGCAAAGCCAGGAGAGGTGGTGGCTCTTGCACAAATAACACCCCCCCCCCTTCAAATCCTGGTCTGCTGCTTCATCCCCTGCAGCCACTGAGCAGGAACTTCATGGATGTTGGAGTTCTGAGTGATGCTGGGAATTCTGGAGAAGCCTCTTCATCCCTGTATTTCAAGGAGCGAGTTCCTGGCGCTCTAAATCCAAGGAATTGCTCCGTCCTGCAGGGCCTGTGGATCGGGATGGGTGCCCTGTGAGTGCCCTGTGAGCTGCCAGGACCTTGGGCTCTCCCTGCAGGATGATCCCTGTCCTTGAATTCCACGAGGCCGCGTTGGATTTTAAGGCAGCCCGGAAAAATCCCACCGGCCCCCAAAGGTGCTACAGATCCCGCCCTCCCTGTCCTGCCCATCCCCTCCTGGATCCTGGCAGGGCTCACGTGCTCTGGAAAGAAAGGATTTGGCTTCCAAATCCACAGAAATACCTCATGGGACGCTGCTCCATCCCGGCTGTGGGAGGGCAAGAGCTTCCCAAGAGCCAGGCTTGGGAATGGAGGGTCCAGCTCCATGCCCAGGCTTCTCCCCAGGAAGAGAGACCCTTGGAGCAGGATCCCTGGCATGGCTGGTGTGTGTGGATCCGGGAGGGATGGTGGGATGCAGGGAACAGGGAAGCTGGAGAAGCTCACGCTCCCCACAGTGTGTCAGTGACAACATTCCCACTCCTTCCTTCCCTGTTCCCAGATGGAAGAGGTGCAGGTTGGGTTTGGGAAGGGGGAAGGAGCCGACCTGGAGGGAAGGGTGGTGCTGGGTGGGCACTGGGAGGGGGTGCTGGGCTTGTTTTGGGGTGAAAATGCACAACCCTGGTGGGTCAGGAGAGATTTCCTGCATCCCACCCCATCCCTGCATCCCACCCCATCCCTGTGTCCCCCCAGAGCTCCTCCTGAGGGAGCATGAGGTGGTTCCACACCTTCCAGAGCCATTGGAGCAGCCGGACTTCGGGGCCAATACTTGAATTCCATGTTTTCTGGTCGGCTGTTGATGTCCCTGTGGGATTTATCCCAACAGCCTGATGGTGCTCCTGCTGTTACTTGAACCCTGAGCGTGGTGGAGGGGGGGCGCAGCTCTTCCCAAATTTGGGCCAGGAGGAAGGTTTTGGGTCTGAAATGACGGAGGAGACATACTGGGAGCTGTTGGATAGGGAATGGCGAGGGCTGGGATAGGGATGAGACCCCTCCCAAGGATCCATGGAGGTGGCAGATGCTCCTCAGCATTCCCAGGGCTCTGCTCCACCTCTCCTTGCTCCGAGCCAGGCAGGAAAGCTGGAGCAGGTCAGTGCCAGCCCCAGCCCGTGGCTGGTGGTGCTGGCTGAGATCCCAAGGTTAACTGTAGTTAACAGCCCTCTCCTGAAATCCATGGAAAACAAAGCTGTTCCTGCACAGGGAGGTGTGAGGGGAGCGAGGGATTTGATCCATGTGGGGCTGGGAATGAGCCAGAGGGTTTGATCCAGGGCTGGAAGTGAGGGGTGGGCTCTGTGGGAACAGCTCCAGGGGGTGCCTGGGCCCTGCCTTCCCATCAATCCCAGTTTGGGGAACGGACCCCTGGGGCTGTGTTATCCTGCCTGGAATGTTTTTTTTTTTGCAGCCTGGTTCTGGAGGCTGCTCCCATCCTGCTGATCCAGGGGAAAAAACATTTTATCACCACCCTTTATCCAACCTTGAATTGTGCAGAGGTGGTGCTTGTCCCGCTCCCGGAGCCGGGAAATGGACCATAAAACCCACTGGAGCGCGGGAATTGTCCATGGAAAAGCTCCTTTCTGTGCTTTTCCAGCTGGATGGGGGCAGCCCTCAGCCCTGTGCTCAGCTTGGCAGCTTCCCCCTCCTCTCCCAACACCCTATTTCAAGGTAGGGAATGACCTTCCTCCCTCCCTCCCTCCAGCAGTGAGAAAATTGGGATAAACCAGGGAAGTTTTCACACCGGGAAGTTTCCAGCGAGAAAATTGGGATAAACCAGGGAAGTTTTCACACCGGGAAGTTTTCACACCTGGAAGTTTCCAGCTCGGCTTCCACCTCCTTGGGGCCAAAAATAAAAGGGTGGAAAAAAAATTCATCCTTGGCTTGAGTGGGGTTGGGATTTGCAGCTGGATTTGCAGGATTGGTCCTATATGGGAACCACCTGGGCTGCTCCTGCTGTTGGGAATGGATGGATTTGGAAGCTCCATGTGTGCTGTTGCCAGATTTTAATCCCTAAAAGCTTTTTTTTTTTTAAACCCTGGAAGTGGTTTTAGCAGTGACCTGTGGGGCTGTTGCTGCAGGTGGTGGTTGGGGGGCTCAAATCCCGGGAGTGTTTTGGGGAGAAAAACCTCTGAAAAGTAGGATTTGCTGAAGGAAGGGCCTTGCCTACTTCCAGGAGGAAGGGATCTGGCCCTTTTCCTTCATTCCTTGCAGTTAAAAATCTGTCCTTGGGATGGTTTTACCCTTCAAATTGACCATCAGGGCTGAGGGTTTAGGGTGGGCACCTGGATACCTTCCCAATTTACCTGGCTTTTGGGAATGGAGGGATTTATCCACCTTCCAGACCTCTTTAGCTTTTGGGAATGGAGGGATTTATCCACCTTCCAGAGCTCTTTAGCTTTGGGAATGCAGGGATTTATCCACCTTCCAAACCTCTTTAGCTTTTGGGAATACAGGGATTTATGCACTTTTCCAGTCTCAATCCCCTTGGCTTTTGGGGATATAAGGGATTTATCCACCTTCCAAATCCCCCTTGGTTTTGGGAACAGAGAGGTTTATCCACCTCTCCAAACCCTCCTTGGCTTTTGGGGACAGAGGGATTTGTCCACTTTTCCAACCCCCTTTTACTCTGGGAAGGGAGGGATTTATCCACATGCTCCCAGCAAGCCCCTCACTCCTCATCCAGAGTCTTCCAGGTGAGGTGGGGCAGGTGGGAACCCCCTTCCCAAACATCCCTTGGGATCAGGGGGGGTCCTGGCAGCGCTGCCTCCAACTGTGCCTCCAGCTGAACAAGCACAACTGGTGCCCAGTAACACACTGGGGAGCTCCCAGTGCCCCCCTGGGATGCTCCCAGTGCTCCCCCCACCCCATCCAGGGCTTCAATCCCCCCCCAAAAATAGGAGTTACACTGGATCCAGCCTTGCCTTTAGAGAGAGAATGAGCAGATTTTGGCAGCTCCAAGGGCAGGAGTTGTGGAACCACCCTTGGGTAGAACAACAACAGTAAAAATGCAGCTTTGCTTAATTTTATCTTTATTTTTTCCCCCCCTCGTTTTTAATTTTTTTCTTTTTTTTTTTTTTTTGGGTGTGTGCTTAATTTATTAAAATAGTTGCTGTATAATTTATTTTCGTAAACTATATTAAAAAGTTACTAAATGGTTTAAAAAAAAACAAACAAAAATGAAAACAAACAAACAAAAAAAACCAAACAGACTTGCAGGCCAATCTTTCAGATAAAAAAAAAAGAAAAAAAAAAAAAGGAAAAAAAAGGAAAAAAAAAAAAAGAAAAATGACGTTTTTTGATATAAACCACAAATGCACTTTTGGGTGTGTTTGGTTATTTTTGGGGGTGGGGAGGGGGAGCCTGGCTGTACCTGTGGGTTTGTCTGTATATATTGTATTAATAGGCATGTTTGGCCTCTCGTGGGGGATGGTAGGAACTGCTGCAGGTGCTGGGGGAGGGAAGCTGGTGTGGAATTCCTGGATTTGGGGGATTTTTGGGGTGGTTTTTTTGTTTTGGTTTCTTTTTTCCCCTGAGTGGTCAGTGAGGGAGAGCTGACTCGGTGTTTGTAACTCATTTCTAGCGTGGTTTTGACTGATGGGTTTGGGGGGTTTTTTTGGGGGGGTTTTGTTTGGGTTTTTGGGTTTGTTTTGGGGTTTTTGGTTTTGGTTTGTTGGTGGGGTTTTTTTTGGCCCGGGGGGGTGGGAAGGGAAGAGAGAGGGGTTTGAAATAAAAGAATTGGAAGTTGTTGGGTGTTTGATGTGTGGTGGATCCTGAGGCAGTGACACCCCCCTCCCCACCCCCAGGGTCCCCTTTGGAGAATCCCAGTGCCCAGAACCACGACAGGGAGCTCTGGGAGCCCTTCCTGGGGTGCTCCTGATGCCCAGAAACACGTTTGGGTGCTCCCAGTGCCCCCCAAAATTGAGAGGGAGATATGGGGTGGCCTCCCTGGGGTCTTCCTGGTGCCCAGAGAGACACTGGGGTGCTCCCAGTGCCATGGAAAAATCAGGGGAAACCCTGGGTGCCCCTCCCCGGGGTATTCCTGGGGCCCAGAAAGATGCCAGTGCCCAAAAAGACATTGGGGTGCCCCCCCCCCCCGTGTGCTCCTGGTGCCCAGAACCACATTAGTGTCCCCCTGGGTGGTCCTAGTGCTCCCTAAAAAATCAGGGGGAGCCCTGAGTGCCCACTCGGGGTGCTCCAGGTGCCCCAAAACACATCAGGGGGGTCCCAGTGCCCAGAACCACGTTGAGGGGAGGTCTGGGTGCCCCCCCCCCCCCCGAGTGCCCAGAAAGATGTCAGGATGCTCCCAGGGTGTCCCAGTGCCCAAAAAGACATTGGAGGGAGCTCTGGGCGCTCCCAAAAAATTAGGGGGAGTGCTGGGTTACCCCCCCTGGGTGCTCCCAGTGCTCCCAGTGCCAGCATCCCCGAGGGGTGGGATGAGGCCCCAAGGGCTGGAGAGGCCCAGATCCACCCCGTGTCTCCCAAAATCCCCCCCCGTGCCCCTCCCCAGCCCCTTCCCCGGTTGCGGGAGCCACGTGCGGTGCTTCCCCACCCACCCACACCCCCCAAATCCTCCTCCGAGGCGCTTCGAACGCCCCCGAGTTTGGCAGATCAAAGGCGGCGGAGCGACAGAATGGGGCTGGGGAGGGGCTCCCAGCCCCGGGGAGCCTTCATCCCTCCTCCTCCTCTTCCTTCTCCACCCCTGCGGCGCCCGGGAGGGTTTTGGGGTTCGTCCCTCTGCTCTTGGCACAGGGTGGGGGGGCTGCCCCGATGTGTCCCCCTACCCTGCCCGCGGGGACAGTCCCCGGGTCGGGGCTCTGTGCGGGGACAAAAGGCCCTTTGACGGGGCCAGACGGACACTCCAGGCGGGATCCGACATCTGGAGCCTCCTCTTGGGTTTTTTTTTCTCGGCTGGCGGGAGCCGAAATGATGCGGGTCCCGTCCCTCTCCCCCCATGGGTGTGATGCTCCCATGGGTGGGATGCTCCGGTGGGAGAGAGGAGCGCGGAGGGTTTGGGGTTCTCCCAGCCCCGCGTGGGAGGAGCTGCGGGCACAGGGATGCTGCACCCCGGGATGTGCCCTGGGCGAGGAGGGTGCCCCCGGGGAGCCACGTGCCCGGGGGCAGGGCCGGGGCAACCCCCTCGCTGCCCTCCCCCCCCAAAAAAACCCCATAAAAAGCCGCTTTGTCCACCCGCCTCCGAGCGGCCCTGGAAGAGCCCCAACATGGCTGCGCCGCGCTGGAGCTTATTTTTAACATCTCATTAGCATCAGAAAAGCAGCAAATTTCCCCCTCGGCCCCCGCGAGGTTTCAGAGCCCCCGGACAAAAGCCGCTTTCTTCCCGCTCCGGCTCCCCCCGCCCGCCAAACCCCCCCCAAACCCTCGGGGTGCTGCTGCACCGAGGGGCCCCCGGGACCCCCGACTGCACCCCCAGCCCCGGTGGGTGCCCCGGTCAGTGGGTGCAGGGAGGTGGGGGGACATGGGGGTGTCTCCTGGTGATGCCCACCCTGTGCCAGTTCCGAGCCTGGAAGGGATCCCGGCCAAAAATAACCTTTGGGGTGTCCCGGTGCTGCTGCCCGTCCCTAAATCCCACCCTCGGGCAGCTGAGCCTGAGGCCAGACTGATCCAGAGGTGGGGGACAGGGGGGCCCGAGCCCCCCCCCAGTTTGGGGCTGGATCTTGTTGAGGGGTTGGGGTGGGTGTTTGGCTCATCCTCATCCTCGCTCACGCCGGTGTTCCCAGTGTTCCCAGCTCCCTGGGAATGAGGGACACTGAGGCACAGGCTGGGCCCATCCAAGGGAAACTGAGGCACGGGCTGGAAGTGTGCAGGGAAACTGAGGCACAGCATAGGGACATTCCATGGGAAACTGAGGCATGGCACAGGGCTATTCCAAGGGAAACTGAGGCACAGCCAAGGGCCATTCCAAGGGAAACTGAGGCACAGCAAGAGGTCATTCCAAGGGAAACTGAGGCACAGCATGGGGCCATTCCAAGGAAGCCGAGGCCGAGTGTGGAGCCATTCCCAGGGATCCGAGGGCAGGCCCAGGGCCGGGTGCCCCTGGCCAAGGCACGCCGGGCTCTGGCAGTGCCCCAGAGGTCACTGGGTCACACTGGGCTGGCACCAGCACTGCTCCAAGCTAATATTTATCCAGGCTGGAGGGCTTGGCTGCTGCCATGGGAAAGGCTGTGGCCGGGCCAGGGGCCACGAACCCGCTGCCTGCGGGGGGGCAACCACTGCCACCCACCCCCTGCCCCAGTGCCACCCCCACCCTGGGCACAGCCACTGCCCCTGGAGCCCCTGGGAGCTCTGCAGGAGCCTCCGGGAGAAGGGAGATGGGTGAGGGGATGGATGGAGGGTGAGGGGGAAGGAGGAGGGAGGGTGGGATGGAGGGTGAAGGGTGTGGATGGACAGACGGATGGGTAAAGGTTGGGGGGACAGGGGAGGGAGGGAGGGAGAGAGGGATGGAGGGATGGGGAGCTGGAGGGGCAGAGGATGTGGGGATGGGCAGGAGAAAGGAAGGATGAATGGGGATGGATGGAAAGATGGAGGATGGATGGATGGATGGATGGATGGTTGGTTGGATGGAGGGATGAAGGGATGAGAAGGGGTGGAAAAACGCATGGAGGGATGGAAGGAGGATTTGGAGTGGAACTGGGTGTGAGGGGTAGGTGGGATGCAGGATGCAGGGCTGGGATGCAGGGCTGGAGAGAGGGAAGGGCGGAGGGAGGATGGAGGGACGGAGGAGGAGGAGGAGGGAAGGAGCGGGATCGGGACGGGGGGTCCCGGCGGGGGGCGGGCGGAGGGGAGGGCGGTGGCGGGGTCCGGGTGGGGCCGGGGGAGGCCCCCTCCCGCTGCCGCCGCTCACATGACGCCGCTCCCGGGATGCGCCGGGCGGCGCCGGGTGCGGGCGGCGGCGGAGAGAGGCGGTGGCAGCGGGGCCGCACCGGATCCGCCACCGGGACCGCCACCGCCACCGGCCCATGGCCCGCGGCCGGACCGCCGCGCCCTGAGCGGCCCCATGGAGCAGGTAGGAGCGGGATAGGGATCGGGATTAGCACCGGGACCGCCGCGGCGGGACGGGACGGGTCCAGCACCCGCGGGCGCGGCGCCGTTCCAGGGGTCTGAGGCTGCCGGGACTTCCCCCCCCGGGACTTCGCCTGCTGCCGGGGGGACCCCCCCTCGCCACCCCTGCGCTCCCCACCTGCTGCTCTTTGCCTTCCTGCATCCACACCCACCTTCCCCAGGGCCCCGCCATCACCCCCCGGCCCCTTCCAGCCGGTGGGAACCTGCTGGCCCAGCATCAGCTGTGCCCCACTGCAGCATCACCCACCCCGGTGCCCCCAGATCGCGCACCTGGGACCCCCAGCCTCGCCCATGTGCTCCGCCCAGCCCGGGTGGCCGGAGGGACGCGGTCCCAGCTCTGCCACAGGTTTCTGTCACAGCCCGGGGTGGGTCTCGCCCCACCTGCCGGGAGCAGCCTGGTTTGGGGAAGGGTTTTCTGCTGGGGGAAGGGGCTGGAGCCGCCGTGGAGTGTTTGCTGTGGGGCGTGGAAAAACCTCGGGGCGTGGGGGGTTGTTTCCTGTGTCTCCCCATCCCGTTATTCACCAGCCGGCGCCGTCCTGGTCGCTGTGCCCCGGCTGGGCTGTGATGTACCCCCGTGGTGCCCATCCGGGGCTGGGGGTGCTCTCGGTCCCCCCATTCCGTGGCTCTGCGTGGACAAGAGGGTCCCCTGGGGTGGGGGTTCTCCCCCTCTGAGCATCCCCCCCCCCCCGAGCTGAGGGGTCCAGCTCCCTCCCTGCAGCCCCTCGGGCTCTGCCTCGTGTTTCCCCCCCTCCCACCCCATCCCTCGGGCTCAGCCCGGGTCTGAGCGTAGGATCTGATGCCTCGGGGGTACCCCCCACCCCCCGACCCTCCGCGGGGCAGGGGCAGCCCCGGGGACCAGGGCAGAGCCACCGCGTTGGGCACGACACACGACACGTCCCCAGCTCCCAGCGAGCTCTGGCTGCACGTTGGGGGCCGCGTGCTGCAAAATCCCCCCCCCGGGCCGAGCCGGGAAGGGCCGTGGCCGGGAGAGGCAGCACACGGGGGGTCGGGGGGCTCGGTCACAGCGTGGGGGGTCACCGAGGTGGGTGAACACCCACCATCACCATCCCCACGGGACCCCCGGGATCTCACCCACCCCACCGGAGCGGGAAAACCACCGCGGGGGGGGCTGCACGTGATGCGCCGACACCCTCGGGTCCAGCATCGCCCCCCGGGGGGCTGCGAGGGTCCAGAGACCCCTCCCTCCTGCCCACCTGCTGTATCTCAGGGCTCGCTCGCCCGCTGGAAAAAAAAAAAAAAAATCCCCTCTGGCACATCCAGCTGCAATGCAGAGGAGCTCCCGAGCCGCCCGCACGCCTTCCCTGCCGCCCTGATTGGCGGCGACGCCTTTGGAAGGGGCCGTGGTAATTTTAGGCCGGGAGCGGCAGCAGGTTGGCATGTGCCTGCCGGCACCGGGCAGGGCTGGGAGGGCCCGGCGGCGCTGCCCGACCCCCCTCCCGCCTCCCTCCACCGGCACCCGCAGCCCGCGGCAGCCCGGGGATGATGCTCGGAGCGAGGGGTCCCCAGGGCACCCCGATTCCCGGCGGGATCTCAGCCCCTCCCTGATGTGGGATGAGCACGTAAGTCCTGGCGGCCCCCCCGCAGCTCTGCCCTGCTCTGCTCTGCCTCGCTCCCGGGGTTCCTCGCCCACCGCGGATCCCCCCGGCCGGGCTGGCTGTTGTTTATCCCGACGGACCCACCGGCGGGCAGGGAAGGAGGGGTTGGGGCCGTAACCCTCCCGTCTCGCCGCCGGCTCAAAATGGCTTCGTGGCGCGGTGGCTGCCAGGAGGGAGCGTCTGCCCGGAGCCGGGAGGGTGCCGAGAGCCGGGGGGTGCCCCCCGTGGGACCCCACCCCGGTGGGGCACCCTCGGCACCCCCGTGGGCAGCGCTCCGGCCTCGGGCAGCGTTGGCCTCGCGGTGCTGCCGCCGTGCCCTGCCCCGGCCACGCTGCCCACTCCTCCCTCCCCCCCCTCCCGGCGCGGCTCCGGCGCCCCACTTTTGCTTTTCTTCGTTTTAATTCCCGGGATTAGGTTAAAACCCATCTTCCAGCCTGGATTCCCCCCTCTCTCCCTTTGTCTGCGGCGCGGCGGCGGCTCCGCAGGGAGCGGCAGCCCCCGGGGCGGGAAGGGGGGGCTGCTGCTCCCCCAGATCCGCGGCTCCGGCTGCCGGGATTTGGGATGGGGATGAGGGTGGGGGTTGAGGTGTGGTGGATCTGCTCTGCTGAGCCGGGCGGGGTGGGCAGCGAGGGGGGGGCGCGGCTGCCTTGGCGGCGGGAGGATGTTTTTCGGGTGGATGGTCCCGGAATGGGGTGTGGGTGAGCGGCGGTGGCAGCTCCGGGCTCGGGGACGCCCTGGTGGGTGTGTGCTGTCCCTCCCTGCGCGTGGGGACAGAGGAGTGGGGTGTCCCCGGGGGGGCTGTGACGGGATCTTGGTGCTGGGGTGGGGCTGGGGGAGACAAAGAGGGTTGGGAGTGGGGAGGGAGCATCGGCTGGCTGGGGGCACGATGGCATCCAGCTCCATGGGAACCCCCGTGGGGAAGCTGCCCAGGAGCAGGGATGGGGGTTGGAGGTCCCCATTGATCCCCCCCAGCTGTGCATCCCAGGATGGGGTTCATCCCTTGCTGGGATCCTTCTCCCTGGCCTCCTGTGAGGGTCCATCCCTGTCTGTGCCTCACACAGTGTTGGGGCCACCGGGGCCTGTTCGGGTCGTGTCACCTCCCTGGTTGTGTCACCTCCCTGGTGAGGGTGGCACTGGGGACACCATGAAGGGACTCAGGAGTCCTGGCATCCAAGGCCAGGTCCTGCCATCAGTGGCTCTTCTCCACCAGGCTCCTGCCAGGCCCAGGGGCTGCCGGGGGGCTACAGGCAGGACGTGGCCACGTGTCCCCTCATGGGGGACACAGCAGGAGGGACCCCCAGGAGTGGTGCTGCCTGGGGGAGAGCGGGAGCTGGGGGAGGTCTCTGCTCCTTCCCAAGGACTGTCCGCTGGGAAAGGATGGATGTTGGTTGGATTGGCCCTCGGTGCCAAACCCACCCGGAGGGGATGTTTCCTAGGAAGTCCCTCTGGAGAGAGGCTGGGATGGACAGTGCTGCGTGGCCGGGCAGGCAGAGGGCAGCCGTCGGGCACATCCCAGCTGGCACATCCCGGGGACCTGGAGCTCCTCCACTCCCCCACGGGCGGGAGGTGGCCCTTGCAGGGGATCTGGGGACAGAGGGCACCCACCGTGGGGCCTGGGGGTGCTGAGTGTGGGCAGAGGGTGCTGGAGTTGGGGTGAGGGTGTCCAACTGCGTCACCACGGGGAGGAAACGTCCCGTCACTCACATCCCACTGTTTGTTCCCTCCAGCTGCTGGGACGGTTCCCAAGGCCGGGCAGGGGACAGGGGTGGTGGCAGCGATCCCCGTGGGTCCCCCTCGGGTGCTGGCACACGCACGTTTCCAGAGGGCAGATCCCTCCATCCCACCCCTTGGATGCTGGGGGTGCTGTACCCCAGGGTGATGGGTGCTGTACCCCAGGGTGGCTGTTCTGCCCCCATCCCTGTCCTCATCCCTGGTTGTCCCCTGCCCATCCTTGTCCTGGTTTCTGGATGTCCTTTGCCTGGCCTGGTCCCTGTGTTTCCCTGTCCATTGCTGTCTGTCCCCTCCCCACCCCTGAATGTCCCTTGCCCGCTCCTGTTCCTGGGTGTCCCCTGCCCATCCCACTCTGGGATGGCAAACTGCGGGAGCTGCCATCCAGGCAGGACATTCCCATGAGCGGGATCGGCCCCCTGCGGCCTCTTTCCAGCCCCGAATTCCCGGTACTTCCGCAGCAGCCGCCGGCAGCTCGGTCATTTATTTGTTCTGGTGGTGCCGAGGTTTCTCCAGGCGCCCGAGGAAGTCGTTGTTGACACAGAACTTTCTTAATTGTGTCACGGAAAACTCTGCGCTTGGCAGCTGGGGTGTCCCGGGCCGGCATTCCCGGGAACCCAGAGTGGCACGGGCTGGCACCCCTGGGGCTGGGGGGGCAAACCTGGGGGTGCAGGCAGGGAAACAGCTGCCCAGGAGGGACTCGGAGAGTGGGTTGGGGCTGGCACTGGCGCTGGGACATGGTGTGGATGTGCCAGAGCCCTTGGCACGATCCCAGCTGCGCCGTGTCCCTGGCATTGCCCTGCATGAGCGGAATGCTGTGTTCCCCCGGCATCCTCCGTGTGCCCTGGGGGTGCTCTGAGGGTTTATTCCAGCCCTCACCATGCATCCCTTTGCCCCACATGCTGAGATCACCTTCTGCCACCAAAGAACCTTTGAGGAGCCGTTTGCACTCGGAGATTTGGGTGTGGGAATTAATTTTCTCTGCGGTTGCTCAGGGGTGGTTTCGGGAGGCTCCGCTCCATCCAAGCGGCCTGAGCCGGGCCAGGCCCTGCAGGTTGTCCCCATCCCAGCTATCCCCATCCCGGCTGTCCCCATCCCAGCTATCCCCATCCCGGCTGTCCCCATCCCAGCTGTCCCCATCCCGGCTATCCCCATCCCAGCTATCCCCATCCTGGCTATCCCCATCCTGGCTGTCCCCATCCTGGCTGTCCCTGTCCCCATCCCTCTGCCAGCCCACGCTCTGTCTGTCCATCCTGCTGTTTCCCGTCCTTGCCGTTTCCTTTCCCTGTGGGTCTGTGTCAGCCTTTGTCCCTCCGTCAGCCCCAACCCCGGGTGTTTCCGTCCCCACCTCTGCCCGGGCCAGTCCCCGTCACTCCTGTCCCTCTGTCCTGGCGTTTCCTGGCTGTGTGTCCTTCTGTGCATCGCCTGGCCTTGGCCTCGCCCTGCCAGTGCCTGTCCAGCTGTCCTTGTCCTGCTGTCCTGTCATCCCTCTGTCCACTCCCTCTGTGCCCATCCTGGTCAGTTCTGCTCATGGTCCCTGTCCCTCTGTCCTGGCTTAAACTGTCCTGGGTGTCCCCTGCCCATCCATGGATGTCCTGTGTTCATCCCTGTCCTGGTTTTTGGATGTCCCTTGCCTGGTCCTGGTCCCTGGGTGTTCCTTGCCCATCCCAGGGTGTCCCATCCCCATCTTTGTCCTGGTCGCTGGGTGTCCCCTGTCCATCCCAGTCCCTGGTCCTGGTCCCTGAGTGTTCTATCCCTGTCCCAGTCCCTGGGTGTCCCTCTCCTGGCCCTTTTTCTGTGTGTTTCCTGCCCATCCCTGGGTGTCCCATCCCTGTTCCTGGATGTCCCTTGCCTGGTCCTGTTCCTGGCTATCCCCTTCTCATTCCCGGGTGTCCCATCCCGGTCCCTGAATATCCCTTGCCTGGCTCTTTTCCCAGGTGTCCTCAGCCCATCCCCGGGTGTCCCATCCCTGTCCCGCTCCCTCCGTGTCCCACCCCGGTCCTTGGGCGTCCCGCACCCATTCCCGCGTCTCCCATCCCGGTCCCTGGATGTCCCTTCCCTGGTCCCGTTCCTGGGAGTCCCCAACCCATCCCGGTCGCGGTGTCCCCCGCCCGTGCCTGCTCTGGTTGTCGCGGTGCCAGCTCGGTGCCGGTCCGCGCTGTCCCGGTGCCGGTTCCCATCCCCGCCGCCCCGGTGCCGGTGCCCGCGGCCGATCCCTCCCGCCGGGCGGGCCCGTTCCGAGCCGCCCCGCGCCCCGCCCGCCGCCGCGGGCGCCCGGAGGAGGCGGAGCCGCGACCGGGGCCGGGGCCACCGCCGGCCCAGCCCGAGCCGAGCCCAGCAGAGCCGAGCCCAAGCCGGACCGCGCCGCGCGGGGCCGGGCCGGGCCGAACGCGGCGGGACCGGACCGAGCGGGGCCGGACCGCAGAGCATCCCCACCGCACCGGAGCGCGCCGGGCGGGGCTGCGCCGAGCCGAGCCGAGCCGTGCGGAGCCGGGCCGGGCCGAGCCGAGCCCGCCCGCCCGCGCCCCGATGAATGGGATCGCCTTCTGCCTGGTCGGGATCCCGCCGCCCGCCCCCGCGGTGAGCGGCACTGGGGGGACTGGGGGGACTGGGGAGGCGGGGGGGGGGCTCGCGGGAGCGGGGACTGGGAGGAACGGGGAGCGGCTCCCGGGGATGCTGGGGGGACTGGGGAGGCTGTAGGCTCGGGAATTAGGGGCTGGGAGGGAATGGGAGATACTGGGTGTAGGTTTGGGAGAGTAGGGGTTTAGGGAACCGGGCGATGCTGGGGAGGATGTGGAGCAGGGACGGGGAGTGCTGGGTATGGCGCCGAGGTCGGGCAGTGGGGCTGGGGGTTGGGTGATACCCCTGGGGGGTGAGACTGGCTCTGGGGCAGACCAGAGCCCTGGAACTGGGCTGTGGGTCAGGGCCAGCGGGTCCGGGGGGGGTCCAGTCACCCACACGATGCCACAGGCGATGGTGGCCACGGTGGCCTGTCCCCAGTGCCCAGCCACAGTGGCGTCGTTGTGGGCTGGAGGGGCTGTGGTGCCTGGATCTGGCCTTGGAGCTGAGGGCAAGAGCCCAGGGCTGGGCTGCCCCTTCCCAGGACGAGACCCACAAACACCCACACGTCTCCTCCGAAACTCCCGGCTGGGCTCTCTCCCTGTGGCTCCGGCTGATCCATCCCTTCCAGCTCCCGGCACTGGGCAGGCAGCAACTCCCCAACGTGCCAAACAGCCCCTCGAGGTCAAATCTAGCCCCCCTGGCATTTGCTGACCCGTGGCGTGGGCACTGGCATCGCCTGGCGCCGCTGGACCCGAGGGCACCGGGGCGATTCCCATCTCCCCATCTCCCCGTGGTGCCAAGGAAGGCCGGCCCAGCCGCTGGCTAAATCCCCATTTCCTGCCTGTTTCATGCCAAATCCCGGCGAACCCTTGGGGTGGGGATGGGTACGGCACCGGGGGGACCTGGGGTGGGGGGTCCGGTGGCCGGAGGGGGCCGGTGGTAACGCCCGGGCGGGGATGCGGCCGCGGTGAGGGACTGGCACAACGCCTGCTAATTTGAGCAGAGGTTGCACGTCCTCGCCCCAGAGCTGAATTTGGCCTCTGTTCCTCAGTTCCTGGTTTTTTGAACTCGGCTTCCTCGGCCCCGGCCATGGGGCTAATAACCGGCCTCAAAGGATTAATTGGGGTGTGCGAAATGGCTCAGAGATGAGGAGCTGCTCGGCGAGCGGCTGAGCATTAATCATGGTTTCTCCTCAGATTCCTCCCTGCTTACTCCGTACCGCTGAGCGCTGGCTCTTGGGTTTTCGGGGTGGGGGGGGGGGGGGGTGGTTTGAGCCTCGAAATCTGCTTTTCTGCGGTGTTTTGGGGGCGAAATGTGCCCTCCTGGGTGGGCGGCACCCGGAGCGAGACCAGAGTCGCTGGGTGATCGTGGGGTGCTGGGTGACTTGGGGCGCTGAGCGACTCGGGGGGGTGGTTATTTGACCCCCACATCTGGGGAGGACGGTGCTTTGCAGTCCTCCAGCGAGGATTTAGTGCTGTGTAAGCAGAAATCCTGCCCAACGGCCGCCCCTGGGGCTGCGTGGCAGGGGCTGCGTCCCACCGTCCCCAAACCTTCGTCCGGTGCCTTCTACCCTCAGCCCCTCGTGGCTCCTTGCCCCTGTCCCCCATTTACTGGCTCTGCTCAACAAATTGAGTTTCTTAACGCCTTTTTTTTTTTTTTTTTTTTTCCCTCTCCTTTCTTTCTGAACCCTGAACTTGAAAGACAGGAAAAGCCTGTGCTCGGGGCTGCTGCCGCAATCCCGCCTCGCCAGCGCGAAACCTGGCACCGGCGCCGGGCTGGGGCACGCAGCTGATGCCACCCCGGGGTCCCGCTGCCCACCTGGGGGGGGTTTTGGGGGAGTTTTGGAGGGGGTTTTGGAGCACTCCAACCTCTGTGGTTTAACCTTGACCTGTGTCATGTGCCCGGCACCTCTGGCACCCGTCACTCGCGCCGCGGGGGGACTGATGGGTGATGTGTGATCCTAAACCCCCCCCCCGGGGCTGGCAGCGCTGCCTGGCACCATCATCCAGCATCAGCTGCCAAGGAACCACTGCTGGGCGTTATTTAGGGCTTGGGGACCATGGGTTTGGGGACCACGGGCCGGGGGGACAGCTCTGGGTTGGGGTCAGAGTGTGGGTGCTGCTGGGGTGCAGGGGGGTGCTGCAGGAGCAGCTCCTGGGGTACTCTGAGACAGAGCCAGGGGCCCTCCCTGAGTTCATACAGAGCCACTCACTGGGAGAAAACATGGAGGGATGAGCGGGGGGGTCATGCTGGGAAGCTGCCGAGCCCCGGGATGGCCTTTTTATTCTCATTAAAGAGGGAAAAAAAAGGATTAGGTTTCAAGTCGGTGCCGTCCCATTAATAAACCAAGTTTGTCTTCAGCAGGCAGCAAGACCTGATTTAAAAAGGAGTGGAGATAGATGACCTATTTTAAGCTCTCAAGTTGGAAAATATCGACCTGGCCGCCCGTGGCCCGCGAGCGGCGGGGCCGGGCCGTGTCAGCCGCTCCAGGCTGCGCCTCCCGCTCCCAAAACCCGGCTTTCCAGGAGCCAGCCCCGGGTTGGGAAGCAGGGTGGCTGCTCCGAACCTGCCGCCGACCTCCTGCCCACGGCCGAATCCTTTTCTGCCGGCTGCTTCTCCCCAGGAGTTCATTAAGCCCCAGGAGTTCATTAAGCCTTCCCTAATTGCCCGCCCGGGCCATGCCACGCCGGGCACACCTTCGTGTTGCAAGACCCGCCGTCCAACAGGGAATCGGCCACGTTCCCGCCGGGATTGGTCTCCCTGGGGTCCACGGCCCTCACAGAGGGTTGGTGTCTTGGGGTGGGAGGGCGCTGGGATGTGGGGTCGGCCCCGTTCCCGAGCCATGCTGGGGAAATGGGAGCTGGAGGGTGAAGATGGAGCAGGGCTCTCCTTAGGGAAGAGGGGCTGAGTCACCACAAAGTGGCCAAAATGAGGCACCGGTGACCGTGGGGACGAGCCTGCTCTTGCCCGAGGATGGAACCCAGTGGAGTCCCCTGTCCTTTGGTTCCTTGAGACCCTGCTGCAGCAGGAAGGACCTTGGCATGCCAGGAGCCAGCCCAGGGGAGGGAATAGGTCCCTGCCATAGCCCTGAGCCCTGGCACAACCCCGGAGGGCCGTGTCCCCCCTGCCACGGGCAGCCAGGCAGGTCTGGGGGCTCTGCAGCCCCCCCTGCCCATCCACCACCGGTGGCACCCCCAGACCTGTCACCGCACAGCCCGGGGTGTCCCCCCCGCCGTCCCCCCGAGGGCAACAGTGGGTCCCTTGATGGGCCCGAGCGCGTGGGGCGGCCCCGGGGCGGGTGGGCCGGGGCTCGGTGGCTCTGGGGGACAATCGGGCCATTGTGGCTCATAGTGGCTCTTTCTGTGCCGCGCCGGGCGGGGGCCGGGCTGCGGTGCCAGCGCTTTCGGGGTGAGCCCCGGTCCCCAGCGGGGCTGGCGGTGACTGGTGTGGCCCCAGTGGCCGGACACCGCTGTCCCCGGGCGGGGAGGGGACGGAGGGCAGGCGGGCTGGACGCTTGGCCACTGGATGAGAGTGGGCAGTGGAGAAATGTTGGGCTGCTCCCGATCTCAGGGAAATGTTGGGCTGCTCCTGATCTCAGGGAAATGTTGGGCTGCTCCCGATCTCGGGGAAATGTTGGCCTGCTCCCGATCTCAGGGAAATGCTGCTGGGCCTCGGTGCCGGGGCACTGGGGGAGCGTGGTGTCCCCAAAGCCGTGTCCCCAGAGCTGCCTCCTGCCCGTGCTGTGGCTGGAGGGAGGCTCAGGACCCGCCTTGGCTCTTTATTTTCACCGCCCAGAGGGATGTGGGATTTGGCGCTTCCGTGCATCCCCCCATCCGAGCGTTGCCCGCCCTCCCCAGCCCTCAGGAGCTCCAGGGGTGTCCCCCACATGGGTGGGGGGTGCAACCCCAGCCCGGGCCTCCTGGCCTTGAGCGGGGCAGGGGCTGGAAGGAGCAGGCAGCCTTGCCCTGACCTCCCCGGGTAGGATTTTCCGCCGTGGAGAAGCGGGAGAAGCGGGAGCGCAGCGCAAGGTGCCTCTCGGAGCCGCCGCAGGAAATGGCTCATTGTTAGCCCAGCTGAAAAAAACAGAGACCCAAAAACTTGCAATAATGAGGCCAGCTTCTATTTGAGGGTTTCCATGGGAAAAACAGGAAACGGAATCCTGTTACTTTTCTAGGGCCCGCTGCCGATAACGCCGTTTTTAGGACGGGGCAGAGAACGAGGAGGAGGAGGAGGAGCTGGGGATGAAGGCAGCACCAACATGGCCTTGTTGGTTCCACTTCCTCATGGGCTGGGAGATAAACTCCTCCTCGGTGTGGCTCTGAGTTTCCCAACCTCTCTGGCATGGGGGCCGTCGGGAACATTCCCACTGAGGTCGGACCTGTTGTGGCTCCAATGTGTGTTCCCAGCACTTGTCCCTGCCTTGGAGCAGCTTTCCCTGCTGGCACTGGGTGTTAAGGGTAATCCCTATGGGCTGGGGACCTGGGAGACCCAGGGTAGGGGCATGGAGAGACCGCAGGGCTTCACAGGCTGTTGGTGGCATGAACGGGGTGCAGTGTCCCCCAAGGTGCCTCTGTCTGGCCTGGGATGTGACCCTGGGAAGCCCTGAGTGTCTGTGGGTCTGTCCCCTGAGGCTGTCTCTGCTGTGGGGCTGGAGGTGCTGTAGTGAGCTTCGGGAGGGCCAGGACGGAGCTGTGTCCTGCCCCTGGATTTGTGGCACGAGTGGATTTGTTTTGTGAGCGGAGGTTCCACGTGGGCACACCCACTTCAGTCGTGACCATGTTGTGGTCACCAGCTGTGAATGGGGGCAATCCAACAATCCTGGCCCAGGAATCCTGCCAGGGATACCAACAGCAGGTTGGGGAGCAGCACAGGCAGAGCCACGTGGCCAGAGAACCGCAGTGGGCACCAGGGCTGGCAGGGAGAGAGGTCAGGAAAGGGGATGAGTCTCTCTGGCCACATTCCCAAATTTCTCTCGATGTGGCAAGAAGGACCCCCCCAGCTGGGGTGAACCAGAGCCC